TGAGTTAAATATAACAGAGTCTATGACTGCTTTTAGTGTCCTCGTGGCCCAGAGGTAACGTTCCCCGGTCATAATCATATGATCTTGGGTTCAAATTCTGGGTGGATGAGGTGTTGATTATATGTAGAAGTCTGCGTGCCATACTGGGCTAATTAAATATATATGGATACTCACGTTTAGAAGACGGATTTGGTAAAACGTTGCTCTGATCACCTAAGCGGAACGGGTAGTTCCTATTCGTGGTTCACGGCGCCAGAAGCTCATTGAACAGGCTTTGTGTGAAATATAAAACAGTCTACGACTGCTTTTAGTGTACTGGTGGCCCAGAGGTAATGTTCCCTGGTCACAATCATAAGATCGTGGCTTCGAATCCTGGCGGGGTGAGGTGTTGATTATATGTAGAAGTCCGCTTGCTATACTGGGCTATTTAAATATATATGGATCCTCGTGTTTCGAAGCCAGATTTGGTTAAACGTTACTTTGATCACCTAAGCGGCACGGGTAGTCCCCATTAGAGTTTCACGGCGCCATAAGCTCGTTGAACAGGCTTTGTGTGAAATATAACATATTCTAGGACTGCTTTTAGTGTCCTGGTTGCCCAGAGGTAACGTTCCCCGGTCACAATCATAACATCGTGGGTTCGAATCCTGGCGGGGTGAGGTGTTGATTTATGTAGAAGTCCGCGTGCTTTATTGGGCTAATGAAATACATATGGATACTCGTGCTTAGAAGCCGGATTTGGTAAAACGTTACTCTGATCACCTAAGCGGCACGGGGAGTCCACATTAGAGGTTCACGGTGCCATAAGTTCGTTGAAGAGGCTTTGTGTGAAATATAACACAGTCTTCGACTGCTTTTAGTGTACTGGTGGCCCAGAGGTAATATTCCCTGGTCACAATCATAAGATCGTGGGCTCGAATCCTGGCGGGGTGAGGTGTTCATTATATGGAGAACTCTGCGTGCATTATTGGGCTCATGAAATATATATGGATCCTTGTGTTTCGAAGTCGGATTTGGTATAACGTTACTCTGATAACCTAAGCGGCACGGGTAGTCCCCATTAGAGTTTCACGGCGCCATAAGCTCGTTGAACAGGCTTTGTGTGAAATATAACATAGTCTAGGACTGCTTTTAGTGTCCTGGTTGCCCAGAGGTAACGTTCCCCGGTCACAATCATAACATCGTGGGTTCGAATCCTGGCGGGGTGAGGTGTTGATTTATGTAGAAGTCCGCGTGCTTTATGGGGCTAATGAAATACATATGGATACTCGTGCTAAGAAGCCGGATTTGGTAAAACGTTACTCTGATCACCTAAGCGGCACGGGTAGTCCACATTTGAGGTTCACGGCGCCATAAGCTCGGTGACCAGGATTTGTGTGAAATATAACAGAGTCTAGGACTGCTTTAAGTGTCATGGTGGCCCAGAGGTAACCTTCCCCGGTCACACTCATATGATCGTGGGTTCAAATCCTGGCGGGGTGAGGTGTTGATTATATATATATATATATATATATATATATATATATATATATATATATATATATATATATATATATATATATATCATGTAAATCCACAATGAAAATGTGGATAAGATAAATCTTGATAAAATCACACGGGAAAATGGAAACAACGGAGCACCTTTGCTTTCGTCTTTATTCAAGACATCTTCAGAGGCAACTGGATTAGTACATGGACAGAGAGAGGCTTAAATATACAGGGTGACCTTAAAAACATGAGGTCAGGTCATAATGATGTCATCCACTAATCCCCACGCCAACACACACGTAGAGGAGCTTAAGAGAAGGGGGGTGACGTGACTAGTCAGGTCAGGTCAAAAATAAGGGACCCACAAAATAATTATCATACATCTAGATCAAAGGTTTTCAAAGCATTTTTAACCTTGGGCCACTGACAAATAAATTTATGTAACCTATTATCAGTTTTGAACTGACCATCACTAAGGTTTATTGATTTTAATTCCTTAATCAAACTAGCTTCAACCAGAAGTCTTTCTGTGACACAAGATGATTTAAATACTTCTAAGCTTTTTTCCCAAGCAATGGGGTGATTATTATTCCTAACATGAACGAACAAGGCACTGCTTTCAGATGCTTACATTTACATTCAAACTTGGGCTATTCCTTATTAATGGTAATGGTTGAGTCATACTTGAAAACAACATTAATATTTAGAAGCTTGAGGGACCGAACTAACGGGACAAATTCATTACGATAGGGCAGTCAAAATATTCTTAAGTGTAGGAACTTGTCTGGTTTGAGAGTAATGAAAGGATTTTTTAGCCCTTTTAAAACAACGATCAACAAACAGAGAAGGGTACCCGAGTTTCTGTGCAATGGAACGAATGTGTTTCAATTCAACGTCAATAAATTCAGAGTCACAAATACGCAGACATCTTAAGAACATAGCAGAAAAAACTGACATTTTGGGAGGGCCTGGCCCTTCAGGCGTGGTTGCAAACAGTTGGAGAACCATCGCTTTCGTCTTTATTCAACACATATTCAGAGGCAACTGAATTACAAAGACTAAGAGAGAGCTAATGTACACAGGGTGACCTTACAAAACATGAGGTCAGGTCAAAAAACATGACATCCACTAATCCACACGGCAAACATAAGAAGAGATTATAAGAACGGACGAAATAACTAGTGTCGTGTCACGTTAGGTAAAAAATATGAGACCCACTGATCATCTAGTTTACATGCTTTCAAATCATTTTTAACCTTGGGCCACTGACAAATAAATTTCTTTAACATATTATTAGTTTTGTACTGACCATCACTAAGGTTTAAAGAATACATTTCTCTAATTAAACTTGCTTCAACTAGAAGACTTTCTCTGACACGTGATGATTTATACACTCCTAAACTGTTTTCCCAATCTATGGGATGATAAGCGAAAAGTGAACATCATCTACATATCTATACCATGGAGGAATAAAGTCACCTATGATGTGCTTTGTCTATGGAATTTTTAGACAAGCTTAATTATCTTGTCCCTAGTATTAATTTAAAAATTGAAAGAGAGATCGATGGATCCCTTCCATTTCTTGATATGTTTACCATGAGAAATGGACATAACTATAAATTTAAGGTGTACATAAAGCCTACACAGGTAGATAACTTCCTAAAATATTTATCGAGTCACCATGAGTCTACCAAAATGTAAGTTTTTTGCTATGTTTTTGAGAAGTTTGCGTATTTGTGACCCTGAATTTATAGAAGAACTGCCTCACATTCAGTCCATTGCACAAAAACTTGGGTACCCAATACTGTTACACTATGAAAACTCTAAATTACTTATGCTAGGCAAATAACAAAGAGATTATGATAGATTTAAAAAATGTTACAAACCGTTACTGGACGACAGAGGTTGTCGAATGCCGTCCTAGTAATATATATTATATATCAAGGATTCTTTTATAGCTACCATCTTAAAATGTAATGGCCAAAACAATATTCCAGCTAAACTGTTTCTGCGTATTAGTACCAGTGACAATATTCACTCAGGTTTTGAAAGTCTAAAATTCTACTCTGTGTGGTCCTGTGTGTTTATAGTGCCTGTCAAGTGACAATTACCCAAATTTGTCACCATTCGTTATCCCCTAAGGGTAACCAAATCCCTTCCTATACGAAGTAAGATAGCTCAACCCATAGAACTGACGTGACTACGCTCATATGGTGAATAGCCAATCAGTGGAAAAAGTGCCTAAGGAATCTTTAAAAGCAGACTCTGATTGAACACTCAGAATATGCTCCCTACAACAAATTAATAATGTTTAGATGTACAGTCAGTTTAGCATTGGGTGTGTTGTAGTGTGGGCTGATCTTGGTGGGCTGGCGATGACCATACTGGCCGCGGTAAGGTTGTTAGGTTGATTGAATCCTTCTCTGTAGTCGTAAATGTATATAGTGAATGATGATGATGATGGGATGGAAAGAAGACAGCCATTAGCTCAGGAAGGTGAAAGACGGTGTATGAGGAAGGTAAAAGTTAGGGAGTGGGAAATAAGGAGGGAGACTGATAGCAGGTGGGCTGTCCACCTTGCGGGGACGGGGTTAAGTCTGCCATGTCAGCATTTCAGGTCCATTGCAGCAAGGGAATGGAAGCTAAGCTAATCTAAGATATGGTAGTTTGTGGTGTCGGGGGGAAGGGCCTCCATGTCCTTTGTCTCATGGTTTTCATTTTGTATGTATTGGTTCTGGTTCTGTGTCGTCGTATGTTATGCTCTTTGGCCACCAGCTGTGTGTTCTGGTAATGTCTTCTTTCATTAGTTGTTGGAATATGGGGTCTTCTAGTTCTTGTAGCTTCTCCCATATTGCTGATGTTTGATTATGTGCTCTGATGTTGATTGTGGTTAGGTTATGTTCTGTGTGTAGCTCGCTGGAAGTTTTTGTATACAGTGGTCTGAGTTTTGCTGCTCTTCTGAGGGCTACGTTTTGGACTGCTTGCATTTTGAGTTTATTTGTTTTTGTTATAGTGTTGAGTGGAATTGGGGGATATTCCAGGTGTGGTCTGACTAGTGCTTTGTAAAGGTGTAGTTGTTTATTGGTGTTTAATTAACGGAATCTTCTGAGTCTTTTGCAATTCTTTCTGTGATATGTAGTAGTAGCCATTCCTTGTAATTTTGAGGCCAAGGATTTTCCCATTTTCTGCGTATGGTATATTTTGATTGTTGACCATGATTGGGTAGGGTCTGGTTTCAGCTATATGAATTATCTTCAGTTTTTGTGTGTTTGTTTTAATTTCTAATTTCCTTTCATAATTGTTTATGGTTTCTATTTCTCTGCTTGTTCTGATTGCCATCATTTGTTTGGATTTCCCTGGGTATTGTATGAATTGGGTTACGTCGTCTGCATATGCTGTGTACTCTGAGTTTCTTGGTTTGGGCATGTCCGCTGTATATATGGTATAGTCTTGGTGATATGTTGCTGCCTTGGGGTACTCCACTATAATGGGTAATGTTTTGACTCATGTAGTTGTCGATGATGAGTTTGGATTGTTCGTTGTCAAGGAAGTTGCAGAGGAGACCCGTGGTGCTGGGTGGCATGTTAAGTTGGGTGATCTTATATTTGAGTCCTTCGTGCCATACTTTGTCGAAGGCTTTGCTGTCATCTCTGAGTACTATGTTGCATTGGTTTCTGTTGCTGGCTGCATTCGCGATGGATTCGTATATTAAGGCTATTGCAGCGTTGGTGCCTCAGCTTTACCTAAATTTGTGTTGTCTCTGGTTGTATTTATCTTTATGTTCTAGATAGTTTCTTAGTCTATGGTTTATTATTTTTTCAAGGATTTTGCCAGGTGTTTCGAGGAGTGATATGAGTCTGTAGTTTTCTGCCTGTGTTGGGTTCTTTCCTAGTTTTAGCATGAGTCTTATTTTTGCCATTTTAAATTTGGATGGGAATAATCCGGTTGCTATTGACGCATTGAAGATATCTGTAAGCTGTTTGATCATTGGTGGTGGGTGGTAAGTTTTGCAGTACGGTTTTGTTTATTTAACTCTTTCCTGGCGATTTATTCTTGCAGCTGGCAATTGCTTTTGTGATGTCGTGTGTGGTTATTGAAACAATTAGTGGGAAGTTATTGTCTAACGTGTTGAGGTTGATTGTGCTGGATTGTTGCCATTTGTCTGTGTTTTGGTTCAAGTGTGTTTTCACCATATGTTCTGTATCTCTGCAGAAATTTCTGTTTTCCTCATCCGTGATTTGGTAAATGCTGCTCCAGAATGTTCTGAATATTGGATCTTTGTGTTTTGGTTCTATTATCTTTTTCCCGTTGTTGTCTATAAGGTAACTGCTCTCCTCTGAGTTGGTTCCCATGAAATTTTTACTTTATTCCAGAAGGTTTTTGGATCTTTGTAGTCTGCTTGGGTGTTGGTTATTAGTGGTTCCATTTCTCATTGTGTTTTATATTCATCTTTCTAGTAATTCGTCTTTGAGGTTTCTATACAATACAGTGATGATTGGACTCCAGCCGTGTGTTTTTATAAATTCATGTAGACTGGTAAATCTGGTTTGGATGATTTTTTCTTCATGTGTTAGTTGTACATATGGTAGTGTGCGATATGTTGTTTTTGGGATATTGTTTTTCGTGGCTGTTGTGATTGTTGTATACCAGGTTTCTAAGGCAAAATCGATCTCGTTTGTGTTTATATTGTGGAGTGTTACTGCTTCATCGGTGTTGAGGGCTGTTTTGAAATTTCCCCAGTTAGCTTTATTAAATGAATATCTTGGTGTCGAGGGAATTTGTATTGGATATGTGGAGAAAGTTGCTATTATGGGTATGTGGTCACTGGTGCTGGCGGGTCCAGGTTTTATGTGTGTGTGAAAATGGTGGTGTCTGTCGATTCCCAGAGTTTCCAGGTGTTATGAATGTTTGAAAGTCTGGACCTAGGTGTGTAATGCTGCCTTGCTCGATTTGGTTGTGCAGTATTACTCCAGCAGGGTTTCTGTTGTGATGTCCAAGGGTTGTGTGTCAAGCGTTCAGATCGTCTAGGAAGTAAGCCGGGCTGTTTCATCTGATTAGTTTTAGGAGGTCTCCTGTCGGGAATATTGGTCTTCTGAATGGTAGACATGAAGTTCCTATTGTTATTGGTCCTTTGGTGGTGTTTATTTCTACTACCAGGAAGTTACCTTAGAAGTTGTCAATTATTTTGTGTTGAATCGTTCGTTTAATTGCTATTGATGTCCCGTCATGTAGTCCTTCGTTGATGTGTCTTTGGTGTACGTGATAATTAAATATTTTCATTTTCTCGTTGTCTTTTCGTCCGTGTGCGTTGATAAGAATGATGTCTGGGTCTATTGTGGCGTATAAGTTTAGGAGTTCTGTTTTCCTCGCCAGGGTCCAGGCAACGGCGTTGTGTTGGATTATCTTTAATGATTTGTTTTGTAAAGTCGTGGATCCCGATAACTTGTTGCAGGTTGTTTGCTGGCTCGTGTTTCTACTGACGAATGTCTATGTATTTCATCCTTTAGTCCCGTTCTGATTTTCTAAAATTTAGTTAAGTCTACCCTTTCAATTTTGTTATATTTGGTGTTTATTAGCCCTGCTCCTATCAGCGTTTTTATGTAGGATTCTTCTACCCTGGTATTTTCATATGTGAATTTGACTATACCTTCCTTGATCTCCTGCAGAAGTCTATCACTTGATATTATAGGTGGAGTGTTGACTGAGTAGAGATGGATGCCGATCTCCTCCCCTACCTCTCCTGCCTGCACTTCCGTTGGTGAAGGTGTGGGGGGCACAATGGCCAATGAGGGTGTCTCTTCTTGTTTTCACTTTGGTTGGGTCAGCTTTGGCGGTTTATGGTTTCTCTGTCTGCTGAGTTGTGGTATCTGATAATTTGTGGTGTGGTGTGTTTGGTTGGCTGAATAGGTCTAATTCCATCAGGTTTTCTTCTATGGCTAGTTTGGTTATTTGCTTCTGAGTCTTAACTATTCCCAAGCTATTCTCGGTAATAATTGTAAATATTTATGTTGAGGGGGCGTCGTCTGGGAATTTCACCTCCGGCAGATTATTGGCAGCAAACATTTCCTTTTCCGACGGATCCTGGCTTTGTGATATTGTTGATGTGTGCATGAATAATAGTCGTTAGTATTGTGAATGGTAATCCTTCGCTCAAATTAAGGTATGTAGGTTGTACGGGGGGTTTTCTTTAGTTTTCTCCAGGACTTTGCAGGTGGTGTCTTGCAGTTTTGCAATTGCTGCTTATGTCTTGTTAGGGTCCGTTTCTATCTTCTTGTTTGCCTTTTGCTTTTCTCTCAGTTTCTTAATTATCTCTTTCCTTGTGGGACAACGTGCTGCCAGTGTTCTGTGGTCCCCATTGCAGTTCAGGCATTTGGGGTTATCTTTGTTACTGCATTCTTTGAATGTGTGGCCCTCTGCTGTGCATTCAGAACAGAATTTCTTATTCTTTTGGGGACAGTTTATGGATAGATGGTTGTATTTGTAGCAGTTCCAACACGGTGTTATGGGGTAGAATTCTTCCTGTTCAATTTGTTGTTTTGATGGATGGTAGTGGGAGATTCAGGGGCTATTATCTAGACCTTTTTGAGTCAGGAAGACCTCTCTACACCTGATTTTCATCATGGAAGGAGCCCCGGGTATTAGAACCACCTCTTTGACTCTTGCCCATGGTTTCTTCTCTTCTATATTGTTGGCTATGTTGCTTGGTGTTTCCTTTAGTTTGTTCCTGTTTACCCGTTTAATGACTACAGATACCTTAGCAAGGAGTTGTGGTGGTGTTACAATTTCAAAGTCTTGTCCTTTTAGTTTCCTTATTGAATCGGCAGAGAGCATGTTGTCAACGTCCTTTTCTTCAAGGCAGAGGGCTATGAACGAGTTCTTTACTTCGATCAAGGCAGCGAATTTGATGTTTAACTGGGCACATAATATTATACCCAGTTGCTCCTTGTTTTTTTCGTATACACCCCCCTCTCAGGAGGGAGTGTATCTGGATCCTGTTTCCAGTTGTCCTGGTCATTTGGCTCTTGTCGTTCTCCGTGGCATCAGTCTTGTTGCGGTTTGATGGAAGTAACAGGCACCCGACCTATTCCAGGAGAGCAACCTAACAATATGGTTTAGTATATCTATAGTGTGTTTTTTCCTAGCTGAAAAAAGATGCCCCGCCCCCTCCTCAAGAGTTACATCAGCTTGCCTGTTTCAAACCTGTCCGATTTCATCCTGAAGTTATGATGCATTTCTAAATGAGTTTATTCATGTTATACATGAATGAATTGCTAAACTCTGGTAGCAAATTCACGCTTTCGGAGGATGCATTTAATATATACTTATTTTTACTCACAATAAGGCATACTAAAACAAATTACATATCAGTAATATTACTGTATGCAAAAACTAACATTTTTAAATATCAGAATCGCATTGAAATATTTACACGGACGTCAGCAGAGGCTGGAAATATGAAACTGTTCTCAGTCATATTTCCCGCCTCTAATCAAACTTGCTTCAACCAGAAGTCTTTCTGTGACACATGATGATAAATACACTTCTAAGCTGTTTACCTAATCTATGGGATGATTATTGTTCCTTATATGAACGAACAGTGCACTGCTTTCAGATGCTGTTTTAATATTGTACTTGTGCTGTTTAATTCTGAGTTGCAATGCTTTCCCAGTCTGTCCTACATAAGTTCCATTACAATTGCTACATGGAATGCAGTAAACACTTCCATTTACAATTCCTTCCACAGATTCGTTCGTTAACCGACAATTTCGTTAACCGAATCCATTATTTCATTGGGATATTGGGTAATTGGTTCCAGCTCACAGAAAAGTACATACAAAGTAAAGTAAAAAACGCATTGAGTCAGAAGCACTCCTAAAATTCCCCTAAATCGCCCTTAAATCACTGCATATATACGTACAAGTAAATTACTGTTGGTGGGTGTGATCCAAGTCTATGCTGATAAGCACAAGGAAACAAAAAACCACGAGGTTCCCAACCGCTTTCGTGTAATTCACATCTTCAGCATATAAATAAATATATATATATATATATATATATATATATATATATATATATATATATATAAATAAATATATATATACATTCTTACTCTTAAATCACTACTATAATGTGATACAGGTGATTAATTTTTATCTTTTGTGTAAAATATATGACATTTATATTCAAATTTTCGCTGTCTTGCAAGGATTCCAGCAATGCATATTATATTATCCTAACTTTAGTCTGAGATATTATATAAGATAAAAACAGTTTGCCTAAAACCCTGGCTGGGGGAGAGGGAAGGAGAGAGGGACGGAGGAGTGAGCAAGCAGGAGGTGAGGTGATATGTTTGACAGTTGGAGCCGAAGGTCTCATGTGTGTTTATTTAACACAGTGATTAATTTTAATATAAACAAGCTATAATTTGCACTAAACATAGCAATTTTAGTACCATAATCATTTAGTACATGTACACTACAGGTTTGCACTTAGGTTATTTATTTATTTTAAGTTTCTTTTAGTATGGTGTGTGCATGTAAATTAATGAAAATAAATGAAGAAATTTATGTAAATCTACCCAAAAATACAGTTGAAAAACTTTACATTATAAAATGTACTACAGTACTGTACTCTAATGTATTACAAATTTTATCTCTTGTGCAAAATATATGATGTTTATATTCAAATTATTCACTGTCTTGCAAGGATTCCAGCAATGCAAATTATATTCTCCTAACTTTAGTATGTGATATTATATAAGATAAAAACTTAAAGCCTACTGTATAACCACCAAACCCTTGTTGGGAAAGGGGGGCTGGAGGGAGGGAGGGGTGACAGTGACATGTTTGACAGTTAGTGCCGAAGGTCTAGTAAAGTATATCTGTTTATTTATGTCCTTTAGATTGAGTTTTTTTTATTTGCTTGTAAAATTTCATAGAAGTGACTGGGGAGAATATAATTCACATTCCTGGAATTCATATAAGATAGTGATTAATTTGAATGTAAACTTGCAATACTTTGCACAAAACTAAAATTTTAGTAATCATTTTGTACCTTAGTTTGATTACATGTACAGTAAGGATTTGCCCTTAGGACAGTGTGTGCAGGTAAATGAGTTTCAATAAATGGATAAAGTTACATATATCGAGCCAAAAATAATAGTTGAAAAAGTTTATGTATACAGAGCTTGGATGGCTAAATTTTAGAATGACCAATAATTTTAATAAAAAAAATGCACAAATATCAAAGAGCACAATTTTCTTGATATTTACTCCACTGGAAACGAATGTAAACTTAGAACAGACTACAGAATTGCTGAATTGTCAGACTAGCCCATCAGCTGATGCTCACAATAAAACCTGATGTGATGTTGGTAAGGATTTCGTCAATCGAATTTTTGTTGGTTAACAGAATTGAAGATATTTAACGGAACAGTTCGTTAACCGAGGGACCACTGTATTAGTAGTAGTTGTGTCATGCTTAAAAACAACATTAATGTTTAATATTTTAAGGGACTGAACTAACAGGACAAATTCATTGCGAGTCAAAATATTCTTTAATGTAGGAACTTGCCGAGTTTGAGAAGAATGAAATTATTTTTTAGCCCCTTTACTGTAAAACTAACTCTCTGATAAATTTATTTGTCAGTGGCCCAAGGTTAAAAATGCTTTGAAAGAATTCCGGGTAGATGTAGGATAGATGATTAGTGGGTCTCATATTTTATACCTGACTTAACATGACTATTCGCGTCGCCCTTTCTCTTAAGCTTCTTTTGTGTTTGTGGTTGTTTTGGTGTATAACAGCAACATTTGCATTATATAAATGTTTACCTAAATTTATAATACCAAATTATTCACCAAGTTATTCAACTCTGCGTCAACTGTTGACATTATGCATGGCTGAGGTTGCAGTTCCTTCGAGGGAGCGAGCGAGGTCAGGCTGAGGTAAGCTCATGTTAGCACAACAGTAAATCTGACGTGTTTCCTTTCTCACATTTCCCGAGGGCAGGCGAGGTCAATCAAATCATAACATACCTGGCCTGCTCCTCATCTCTCTCTTGGATAATAGAGGCTGGGGAGAGATCAGACTCATATTTTTTGTTACCCAGAGAACACCTCACTTAAGTGTTCTCTTGTGTACGTACACTAAGATATTTCCCCTAATAGAGAAGGTATAATATGTTCTCAACTGAACTAAGTACTTGTGGAACTATAATTTTCTACAATGAAGAAAAACCAACAAAATGTTTCCTTCAGCCCTGCCACTTATTTATTCCAGAACTAATATATATTTTTGTGTGATATATATCTATAAAAAGGACCAACACCCTGGTGGCAAGTGGTGAGACTTATTAAAAGATACTCAGAAACAAACATTACTTCAAGTGATTCTAATGACTTAGGTGGCACTTTAAGTTAATCATCAACAAACAAGCAATTACAAGAAAATTAAGTGGACAGTGGCTATAAACACTTGCAGAACGTATTCATAGAGACACAGTGGTAACAAAAACATTATAAAATATTGCCAACTTAGCAGTCAACCCTCCTCAACATATACAACATTTTACATTACTACTCCTACTCTTTGCTGGTTCAATTTATCAAACTTTCTCATAATTCGACTCCTTCAATCCTCGCTCTATTCTATTTTAACTCCTTGCACTCTCACAACTCTTTAAATGGGGGCTAAACACTCATCTTTTATTGAACAAATAAATTATTGGTCTTTTTCTTTGTTATCCACACTCTGCCCCCACTCTCCATCAGCTTCAGAAATCATCTAGGAAGGCCAATGACTTTTCATATTCCATTTTGCAGTGCCTCTGTCTACCAAAATTAATTCATACCCTCGAATAGCACTCAATGCAATTTCCTACCACAGAGCCTTTTCCACCTCGTATTATCACCATCGTTTCAAATCATCCTATCTAAAATATCTTTAGTCTTTGGCGAGGGTACACAACGCGGAATAAATCTGATAACGACACTTGAGTGCTCTCTCCCTGTGCTTTTTATTAAAAAGATACTTAAGGCGCTAGGTATGTGTACCCAGGATCTTGATCCACTTGCTGAACAACAATCGGTATCTAGTCAGGGATGTTCGTAACGTTATTCAAAATACTCGGAGGACTTTAACAGCGCCAGTTATCCTGTTGTGTTTGGGTCTTGTCCAGTTTTCACATTTCGAGATGAGGCTACCCGTTCTATTCAGCTGTTCTCTCTATCTACCACATGTAATCTTCATCTCCGGCAAGATTCTTTATGATATATTCCTTCTATCATCTTCAATGTCTCGATCATATCCCCAAGGATTCTGCAGCAAGTCGTTAATGGAATGTTAAACATTCTCAGGCGGTCTTCAGAGCTCAAGTTCTTTAACTCATGTGCCACCTGCATTGCCCTCCACTGAACACTTTGATTACCCCTCAGAGGTCACACTGTCATGTAATGTATACTTCTACTAATCCATCCAATGTGTGTTTAGGGTAGAGAGTAACGTAGGTACTGTACAGTATATTACTTGCTGTTATTCCTAATACAGTACTATTAAAGAAAAACAAATTCTTCCAGCCTATTAGGTGTATCATTATTGCTCCAATATGATTCTTCCAGCATTGGTTACAAATTTAAACCATCCTGATAATAATGTTTCAGCTTCAATATTTAACATTTTAGTCAAAGTTTAAACGAAAACATTTTGTAACAACTGCTAATCGTCCCTTTGAGTTGATGATGTGACTGAGATAGGATATGCAGACATTATCAGCCACGTGCTCTAAGTCTAAGGCACCTTATGACTAATTCTTGCTAACATGTTTTATGTAGATTAGTAGTAGGAAATCTCTGGGGTGGGTTTGTTCTTTGGTCGAGTATACTCATTACTCACTTTCTTACCTTCACCACGGACAGACACGATAAATGTAGGTGATCATCTTGGATCAATGTCACAACAAAAAGCTGCATATTTCCTCAAGTGCTCGTTGGCAGTGTACCACCGAGAGCTAACAAGAACTGGAAGAGTAAAACACAGTCTTTAACATTAATGATTAATCCCTCTTAAGCCCAAAATATTTTTTTTCCGAGTTGTCGTTGTGCATTTGTGAATACTTGCAGGAGGTGGACCGCGATTTAATGCTTGGGAGAGGCACTTGCAGAATGAAGGTAATTACATACTCTCAGTGTATAAAGGTGTGTATTTGTAGGCAACGGGAAAGGAGATGTGATGGGTGAAGCTGTATTACATACTCTCAGTGTATATTACTATGTACTTACAGGCACTAGATCGTGACCCACCGCTGGGGAGAGACATATGGGAAGTGAGGGTACAGGTGAGAGACGGACAGCGAGTGTCACCCTCCTTGGCAGCTGTGTCTCGAGCATCCAGAAGACCCAGAGTCACCTACGCTCAGCACCGCTACTCCCACCATTCTAAAGTGTCTCCAGAGACTACATATTTTATGCCACAGAAACCCAATGTGCCAGTACAGGGTCATTACTTCTTGTCACGATATCCCCAAGTACCAGGACAGAGTCAAAGTTTCTCATTGCAGGACCCTGTTGAACCAGAGGATCAAAATTTTCTCTCTCAAAGTCTTGCAATGCCACACGATGCACATGATGCTTCGTTACTCCAGCATGAAGAAAATTTTGAAGACGAGGGCTGGAGGCTTAAGAAAAATATTCAACAAAAAACAATGCTGATGGAATCAAGATTTTTTTCAAAGCCCGGGTTTGGACCTACATACAGAATAAATGAAAGAGCTGGATTAAAAAAAATAAAAAATAGCAAGAAACATGGAAAAAGTGAAGGAAAGAATGCAAATACAAAAATACGTACAAGGAAAAGAGGTGAGAATAACCAAAAACGGAGGAGAGTAGCAGAGAGGAAGAAGAAGTTGCGAGACCAAAATCATCAGAACTCAAGGAAAATGTCAGGGGATAAAAAACATAAGGTAGCAAGAGGTAGACAAACAAGTGGTGCTGGAGCGAGAAGATGGAAAGTAGCTTCGGGGTCAGGCTATGGGTCTCAAGCCGGAGTAGGTGAAGAGGTCTCAGCATCCACTACTGTATGTGAAGATCGCCTTTTCCATGAAACCAATAGAATGAAAAAAACATCTAATGGGGTAAGACTTTTGAAGATTAAATATCTCAAGCACAGAAAACATGAGCAAATTGGAGTGAAATGTAAACTCTTCTCTGCCAGAGAGGCGCTAAAGTTAAAATCAACACAACTTCATGCAGGAAGCAAATTGAGTTTTGCAAAGAGCAGATTTTTCAAACCACTTACAATGGCCATACCTGAACCTGAGTACAACTTCAGTCAGTCTTTACCTTTTATAGCAAAACCTCTGTTTCCAGATACAAGTGATCATTCTTCCGCTCTTAAAGAAGTCCCCAAGACTCGACACAACAAATCGCCGCCTCTGGAAGAAGGTTTTGAGAGATCTCTAAAGTATAATAAACACGCCCGACAAGTAACTGCATCAAGTTCTACCAGCACTATTGCCTTGAAGTTTGGACGTAACTTGTCAGGGCACTCAGACAGAGTGGGACTGGAGGAGGGATGGGAAGATACAGAGTACGATGGAACGGATATTAGTAAACGTGATGTTAGCCAACTGCCAGTGAACGATTTAGCAGTGGGCCAATTACCCGAGGACTGGCGCTACGTGAAAAGGTTTGGAGCAGAGGGAGGAGGATGTGAGGACTATGGTGTGTTTAACATGGGCTGGGAGGAAACCGAGAAGAAAATGCCGTGGTACATAAGGGAGATGAGGCGTGACCAAGTGCACGTAGCGGAGACAGTGGTGACGGTGGTGGTGAAGGATATCAACGACAACGCTCCCATCTTCCCCAACGCCACCATCTACGGCGAAGTACAGGAGAACGGCCCCATCGGTGAGTATTACCTTCACAGGTGTAGGGGAATGGCCCCATCGGTGAGGATTACCTTCACAGGTGCAGGAGAACGGTCCCATCGGTGAGTATTACCTTCACAGGTGCAGGGGAACGGCCCCATCGGTGAGTATTACCTTTACAGGTGCAGGAGAACGGCCCCATCGGTGAGTATTACCTTCAGAGGTGCAGGAGAACGGCCCTATTGGTGAGTATTACCTTTGCAGGTGCAGGGGAACGGCCCCATAAGTGATTCACTTGCATATGGGAAAAAAAAGTATATTACATTTTTCCATTCACAACAACCATACTAAATTGGGTGATATTGTACTTTGCTTTCGTGCTTTTTTTCAATCATTTTATAGATTATCGAAGGGAAGCTGTTACAATTGTCACGATTACTTGATTGGGAAGCACTGTGGCATTAATTATCACTTATGAGGACTCGTTAGCCATACTCAAGCGCTGGTGCGCCATATTGCAAGTAGCTTATATGGGAAACAAATCTTAACGTACTGTTGCCTCTTACGCTGAGTTGCTGATGGGAGGTCTTTCAGCTAACCCCGTCTTTTCAGCAACTGTTTTCTGCATTATATTTTAGGACATTTATATGAGGAGAGAGATTTTGTCATGCAGTCCTGCTCCTGAATATTCAAATTTGGGTTTACTATCGTGTTGCAATAGTTATCACAATTGTCTGACTATCCGGTTGTGGTCTAACAGACAAACCGTGACCCTGGGCGCTCCAAAGACCGTGCCAGGGTCACGGCCATAAATACACTGGTCACTTCTGATTGTCATTTTAATTCTCGACTGTTATCCTTGGGTTTATACTGGTGGACGACAGTTTTAAAACAAGTTTTGCACTTGATTTTTTGCTAATAAAGCCTAGTGGCAATGGAGGGAGGGGCAGGAGCTACTTCAAATAGCACTTACATATCTTGATGCTGTCAAGACTGGTGTGTGTGTGTGTGTGTGTGTGTGTGTGTGTGTGCGCGTGTGTGTGTGTGTGTGTGTGTGTGAGTGTGTGTAATAACCGTATTCTCCCTTCAGACTTAACAGTGGGCGTAGTGACGGCGTGGGACGCAGACGACAAGCAGGAGAGCACCAACGCATTCCTCACTTACTCTATCGAAAAGAACGTGATCGACGAGCGCTCTGGCCAGGCCATCTTTACCGTCAACCCCGAGACTGGCCTCGTTCGCACTGCCAGCTGTTGCCTCGACCGTGAGACCACACCCGAGTACCACATCCAGGTGGTGGCGGTGGACGGAGGCGGTCTCAAGGGTAAGTGTGGCTCTCTTCATGGAGGGGGAGGGAGAGTGACTGGATCCGTTACAGAGAATGGTGGAGGCCCTTACAGTGAGTATAACTATGTTGTCAGTCAAGGTGGGTGAAGGTGGCCTGAGGGAAGAGCTCTGTACAGCAGTGTCTTTTATTGTGGGGGACGACGTAGGTTTCCAAGATGACTGAGGTCGTATAATTTATCCGAGTTTTATTGAAAAAAAATGGGCTCGGTTTACTACCTTGACACATACGGATGCCATGTTATTTTGTTCTCAAATATAATAAAATATCTTCAATAGTCAGTGTGTTCGATTTTTACTGCCTGAAATGACATAGCGTAAAGGATATTTTCAGCATATATCATTTGAATCGACAATTCACCAGTTAAAATGACACCTGAAGCAAATATTTCTCTATCTCAAACGACGTTTTTCATTATTTTAGTATATACTGCTATTGGCTTTAAGGAAGCTTAAATTGATTGGTGTGTTGTAATAGTCTCCATTAATTTCACCAGTTTTAAAATATATGGCGATACGAGTCTTAGTTATGAATAGAAACTCTTTACCTACTTCACTACGGCGAAGCTACTTTAGATAATTCATTTGACTAAGGCCAGACGATTTTATTCATATTAGAGGCGACACCGAACACGAGGGTTAAAATGTGTTATCAAAATCTTAAATGGGGTTAGAGTCCGCAGACTTCACATTTCTTTTCTATAATATCTCAATATCAATGACATTCACAAAACAATAAATGAGTATATTGTAACTGATATACCAATTGATAGATAGATAGATAGATAGATAGACGGATAATAGATAGACAAACAGTTAGTCAATTTAACCAAGAATAGACTAAGAAAAGTGTTAAGAGGCGGGAAATTATATGAATATAGGTAATTAGTGAAATAGTATGAAAATTGTATTATCTCTCTCTCTCTCTCTCTCTCTCTCTCTCTCTCTCTCTCTCTCTCTCTCTCTCTTATTTTACTACTAGGTAATTTCTTATTAATTCTGGTAAGTAAACAAATCCCAGTCTAGAAAATAAGGTTTATCATGCAGGGGACACCCTACAAAATCTCACGAGAAAGCACTCTCTCCTGGTCAACATGCTGATTGGCTAGCGCACTAGCCAAGCATAGAACGCCACTTACATTCCGAGACAAGACCTCAACGAAGACTCCATTATCTCTTCTGACTGGAGGTTTTTCACATGTGAAGAGATACTGTCTTCACCTTCTCGGACTAGGGACAGCCGGGCCAGTTGAAGAAAATCCAGACCATCAACGACGTTCCATTTAAGCTGCGCATCGACTTCTAGGACAACGCGATCAAGAGGGGTCATCTCTCACACCGAACTTTAACATTTGAGGAATAATGAATTTGAAGAACTGGTCGGGCACGTCGTCGTTCAGAGGAACCTTTCAAGATCCGACGGGGGAGCCACTTCCGCCGTGGTCGGCGTCCTCTGCGAACTTCCATAACATATCAAGACACACCAGGTGCTACAGATGTCAGTGCCGGACTCGGGAGATGTGCGCCTCGGTCGGGACGACCGGGCACCAGCATACCACCTGTTCAGCATCAACTACGAAGTGTGCAGAACAAAGAAGAAAACACCAGGCAACAGCAGCATAGGACACAATCATGACATATCTTTACAACACTAAACTTTCTACAGGATACTCCCAAATACTTTTTAAGACAACCACAGCCATGATGATCCCAAAACCAGGCAAAAAACACACATACCCATAAAACTACAGATCCATCAGCCTCCAAGAGGTCTTGGGCAAGACATACGAAAACTGTACAACCAACACCACAGTTACCACCTTCAAGATGAAGAACTGTTTTCACACAAACAGTGTGGATTCAGGCACAACACTCCACACAGGATGCACTGAATCTAATCACAAACTACTTCCACCCGAACAAGGAAGCATACAAAACAGCACTCATCACGAAAGACGCCTATATAATCTGGCAAGGAGAACTTAAATTTCAAAATATATATATAGTTCAATATCCTCCCAAAATTACAACTCCTATGCAACTTCCTAATAGACAGACAAATGAGAATTAAATTTGAAGTTCAACGACTGTACCTTCATCTGTCACCAAACAGCTATATTACTATCCTACTTCCTTTTCTAATTGGCGGGGCCTACCGGGGTTATGGGTGCGAGATGGGGCTGTGTGGGTCTTGTCGTGTCGGTCGTTATGCTGGTGGTCTGTTATTACTATTATATAACGATCAGGCATCATGCTGTGTTAAGCAACTCCCCCTACTCACTTCCATCCACTAGCTGTCCTTTCACTGAACCTTTTTCATCCCTGTCACTTGGGATTTATGTACTGTATATATGTATGAATTTACACTGGAGCTGCTCCTCAGCGTGGAAGGAACCTCAGCTCTCTGCTCCCAAGGACACCATGATCTACCCCTACATAAGGTTAGGCCCTTCCAACCTCCACACCCCCAAAAAAGCTAAACCTACTCGTCCTCAAGACGTTTTTCAACTCTTAAGGGTTACTGTAAAGGGGTTTCAAAGGTTGTCCGCCGCCTGTGTGGTGGCCTTGCGGTTACCTTCTCGGATTGAGGACAACGAGCCCAGTTGAAGAACATCCTGACTGTAAAGGCCTTTTTTGTAGGATAAAAATCCCTTGCCAGCCTCATCGGGATCTTATAAAAAGAAAAGTCAAGAACCATGGGTTTCCAAGGGGCAATGAACAACAGTTAGAGATTGACTTCTCTTTACTGAGAAAATAATCACAAAAAATTAACTCTGACACCACTCACACAAATATTACATAAACAGCACTGGAGTCAAACAATTACTTAAAACAAAACAATCAATAAAACAAAGAACAAGTATTTCCTACGGCTGCAGATGAATCTTCCTTATAACCAGCACTGTAGAATGTTTCGGTAACGCGGTGATCCTCTCTCAGGGGGGGAAGTCTAGGGCAGCTTCCTCACTTGGCGCCGGCGTTGGTAGGCGATGCTTTGCCACACAAGAGAGACGCCAGGGCACAGACGATGGATAGGGCGTGAAGGATGTGGTAATCACGTGGCAGCCGTGGCAGTAGCTAGAGTAGGTGACCGGTTTTGACAGCCGAATCGTGAAGGACTGGGGAATCAGCCCACGAGCCCCAGGAACCTCAGATAAGTACACAACCAGAGTTGGAATCGAACAGCGGGATGAAGTAACAGCTGTGGTGAAGGCTGGATCGTATCTCGCGTGCGATGAGGCAGCAGCAACCTTCTCTTCTCACTCTCCCCCACTAGTGGGGCCGCGAACAAGCAAACGAGCGGAGTACATCCATCACACTCATTACAGCTCTTACACAGCTCCCCCAACAAAAATCGACTGTAAGGTAGATTAAAGCTTAAGATTAGTAACACAAAACATAATCCTGCAACAAATGGTCAGCTATACAGTAGACCTGCTCAAAAGATCTGCCCCCAAGGTTGTCTTTCCCGGGATGTGAACAACTCGAAACCTATACCCCTGCAGACTTAGAGCCGACCTTAACAATCTGCCATTTGCCCCTTTGTAGGTAGTAGGTAGTAGGCAGCTACCAAACAGGGAGGTACTACCGTCTGGGAAGATATTGGAAGAAAATGTGTTGTCTAATGGCAGACCCTGCTGCTATATGGCATCACGAAAATTGTGACCAAGTCCCAGATTGCTGATCTATCTTTCTGCCTCATTTAAACACAATTGCAGGGTTTCAACTGTCTCTCTTACTATTGACAACACCACAAATAAAACCGTCCTCATTCTTGATCTGTTTTATTCATTCTATTTTATTCTCCTATGACAGTTGATATTAATACTGAAGCGGGGCCTTCTCGGATGGGTCCCACTGGTCGGGAAGGTTGTGGAGCCCAGGGCCGACCTGATCATCATCAAGCTACTGGGGCCTCAACTGATGCCACCACGGTTGCTGGAGGATCAGCTTTTTTCACACTTTATTTTTCAAACATTCGCGGACTGAGATCCAATTTTTCTTCTGTGGAGCACCGTCTATTAACCTCTTCCCCCGACCTCTTACTACTCTCCGAACTTCAACTGACCAAAGCAACTTCACCCAAACCTTTTCAAGTCTCTAACTACAACCTTTATACCTACTTCCGTTCTAAGGGAGGTGTATGCGCGTACTGCAACACACGTACACCTATAGCCCGACTCACGGATCTTGAATCTCCCCTTTATGATGTCATATGGCTCAAAATATCTCTACCTACTGTGACTATTTTTCTTTGTTTCCTATACTGTTCTCCCAACTCCACCAACTATTTCGAACTCTTTGACTATCTCACTTCTTGCCATGAGTCGTTGCTATCCACACACCCCAACACCGAGATCCCCTACCTAGGGGATTTCAATGTACATCACAGAGAGTGGCTTGGCTCTGCAAGGGATGACCCAGGTGGAGCTGAGGCATTCTCTTTTTTCTTACTTAATGGTTTGGAACAAATAATCAAACACCCTACACGCGTTCCTGATCGACACGATCAACTTGCTAACATTCTTGATCTTTGTTTTACCTCTAACCCCTCACACTATTCATACTCAATTTTTGCCCCCTTAGGGTTTTCTGATCACAACCTTATTTCTATTAAATGAAACTGGGCACGACCACCTACCCCACCCCCCTCTAAACGTCAACTATGGCACTATCGGAGGGCAAGCTGGCAATCCTTGGGAGAATTCATCACCGACTTTCCTTGGGATGAATGTTGCTTTTCCACTCGGGATGCCTCGGAATGTGCTGACAGCATTGCTGGGGTTATACAGGGCTGTATGAGTGCATTTATCCCATCTTATACCAAAACTTTCACATTACAATCATGGGTTGATCGCTCCTGCTCTCTTGCTTGCAGGGTGAGAGATAGGGCATATCGAGCTATGAAACTATCTCCTTCTCCTATTACCCACACCTCTTTCATTACTTCTAGGAATCGTTGTAAGGCTATTCTTCGTAGGGCCAAGCGGAATTTTATTAAAAGAAAGACCGCTGTCCTGACTAATTCTTCCTCTAGTAAATCCTTTTGGTCCTTAACTAAAAGCATCTGTAACAACTTCTGCACGCCTTCTTTTCCTCCCCTCTTCCGTCCCAATAACTCTATAGCCAACTCTCCCCCTGACAAAGCCAACCTCTTTGGCACCATATTCTCCTCTCATTCCACCTTAGACGATTCCCACTCTATCCCTCCTACCCCTGCACCTCCTACTGAACCTATGCACTTTCCTATAATCTCCACTCGCAGGGTTGCCGGTGTGTTATCCAGGTTGGATGTGAGTGAGGCGCATGGACCGGACGGAATACCCCCTCGTGTTCTGAGGGAGTGTGCTGAAGCGCTGGCCCCTGTGCTTACTCGCCTCTTTCGCCTTTGCCTCAAAACCCAAACTTTTCCTTCTTCTTGAAAGCATGCCTTGGTTCAGCCCATCCCGAAGAAGGGTGACCATTCTAATCCCTCTAACTATCGCCCCATTGCCCTAACTTCATTCCTCTCTAAGATTTTCGAAACTATCTTGAACTCCCATTTTCTCCGTCACCTTGAACACCTTTCTCTTTTGTCGGATCACCAGTATGGCTTTCGCCAGCAGAGATCTACTGGTGATCTGCTCTCCTATTGCACCCATCTTTGGTCATCCTCTCTTAGGGATTATGGGGAAACTTTTGTCGTGGCTCTCGACATTTCCAAAGCATTTGACAGGGTATGGCACAAGTCTTTGCGATCTAAACTTCCCTCTTTTGGGGTCTCTCCCCCATTTTGTTCTCTCATCTCTAGCTTCCTTGAGAACCGATCCATGGCAGTTGTTGTCGAGGGATCGATTTCTCGCTCTTTCTCTACCAGTAGTGGCGTCCCACAGGGTTCTGTTCTTTCACCAACTCTCTTCCTTCTTTTTATCAATGATTTACTTCACACTGCAACTAATTCTATCCATTCTTACGCTGATGATTTTACTCTTCACTCTTCCTCACATTTTCCCCTTCCTCCTAACTCTCAAACTAGATCTGTTTCTAGAACTGATATCATTACTTCTATCAACGCGGATCTGCGCAGCATCTGTGAATGGGGAGGTACAAACTTGGTTAAGTTCAATAGTAATAAAACTCAATATTTACCAATTACACTTTGTAAATTAGACGATCTCCCACCAATTACATTTCAGGACGCTATCATCCTCCCAAATTCTGAAATAAATATGTTAGGCCTCACCATTTCGTCCAATATGTCCTGGAAATCACACATTCTTAGTTTAACTAAAGCTGCCTCCCGAAAGTTGGAAATGCTGTACAGATGCCGCAGCTACTTCACTCCTGAGCAGTTGCTCCAAGTATATCAGGGATTCATTCGTCCTAACTTGGAGTACTGCTTTCATATCTGGGGTGGCTCTTCTTCTGTCCAACTATTAGATAGGGTGGAATCTAAGGCATTTCGTCTTATTAACTCTCCTCCTTTAGTCGACAATCTCTCTTCCCTTTCTCTTCGCCGCAATGTTGCTTCACTCTCTTTCTTTTACAGGTACTTTAATGGGCAATGTTCGGTGGACTTGGCATCCTGTGTACCGCCGGCAAGGCCTTGGGTTCGCAACGCACGTCTTGCCCGCGGTGCCCACCGTTTCTCTGTGG